CTAGTACACAATTTCAACCAGCATGCAGCTAGATAAATGTACCTTTTAATCTAGTTAATCTAGCTGTAAGTGGGCGCTGCAGCTACTTCTGCAGCTAGATTTTCTCGCTTACTTAGTTTTGCTTGGGGATCGTTGAAATCACCTTATTTGAAAAGTTCTACAATATGTATTAATAGGAAGTTTAATGGAGCCTGATAGCGGCTTTTGTGAATTTAATATTAGATTTTTCCATAGATCCCGGCTATACTACTGCACCTAACCGGTATTGACTTTCCTTGAAGTTTCAGGATTCGTACTCCGTGACTTCGAATAGTCTTAGGATTGCACGGAACATAGGTAATCAACAACGCTGAATCTTTCAGCAATGTTTGTTTTTGAAAACAAAATTATACAGCTGGTGAAAACTACATTTTACGAAAACTAGTATTTTCAGGCTGTGTTCACCTAATACTAAAAATCTCACTATTCACCCAAAAAACATTAGAACGAGTTAAAAACTTCAGAATGTACGGCATTTAGGCTATTCTGTATGATATTTTATTTATAATCATGTATGCATGCTAGTCAGACCAATTATCATAATTTTGTCCGCTAAAGATGATCATTTCGTCGGATATGTTCAACGGAAATATTAGTTCTTTATCGCTGACACCCTTCACTTCCAAAACCATATCATCCCAAGCAACAGAACATCGAGAAACTGAACGAAACTTCTGTAGCTGGTTTTTGTTAGGGAACATAACTTATTTTTCTATGATCTTCGATCAACTTACATTCATAAACCCATTCAATAATTCCATTATGTACATGTTCTCTATGTCCATCGTTTGTTATAGAGCGACTCCTGCTTAATTCAATATCATAGATGAAAACATTAAAATTGTGGATAAATGCCTGACATGAAAATAAATGAATTTAATCGTATGTGATCGCAAAATCATCGGATATTTACTTACAACAAGATGATTTGTATATGAAAATAGAATTGCTGATATTGGAATCCTTTCATCATTAATATTAATCGACGATAGATGCCTTGATCCTTCGTATACATCATAATTGTATTCAGTATAATAAGGTCGACTCTAAAAATGTTAAAATGTGAAAGATTACAATTTTTTTCTGTCTCTCTGTTTTGCCTACTTTTCCTTTAGCAACTGGAATTAAGATATATTGAGTAGACGGTGATACAATACTATCTCCAATACTCTCTAATTGAACATTCTACAAATACACGAAATACAATTGAATAGCGAAATTATCAATATTTATACTTTTTACTTCTCGTTTGAACAACAACGAATGTTCATTTATTTGACAATTGTATATCCATATAGATCCATTAATATCAAAGTAAGAGTAATTAATAGCTTAAAAGAATATTCTAGACAATATATTACATATAAAATAATGGATAGTGGTATTATTAACCTGAAATCCATGTGCCATTCCAAGGTTTAGGAAGTTTTATCTCAAATATATCTTTCAATGTAAATGGTAATAAATCTTTTTCTCTAACTATTTGACCTAGACAGGTTATAACCAGTATCATAGTAATTTATAGTAATCAACTTATATCTGACTTACGTTTAGAAGTTAAATAAATAGCTCCAATAATAAATGAACATATAACAGTAATAACTAAGAATGCAATACCCAATCCCTTCCAATTTTGTTTCTTTCCACTACCACCAACCAATTCCTAAAGATAAAATAACAAATAATTTACATTTATAAAAGATGAACAAAAGATGCTTTTATTACTACTTGGAATATAAACAATTAAAAATTAAGTAGGATCTGTTTTATAATCGTTTCTCTCTTATATTGACATTGTTTGACTTTTTTTAAGTTTTTTATAAAAACTAAGTATATTTAATAAAATTGAAAAATATTTTCGCACGAAAATGTTTTTCAATTTTATTAAATATACTTAATCTTTTCTCACGTATCATGACTGAGTATTTATTTTAGAATATCAGTGCCTCATTACCAAATCACGATGTACAGTGTGATGTACAGTATCATTTCTTTTTTTTTTATCCATTTCGCTATTTCTCGATTACTTTTCTGTTTTATATTGGTCTTACTTTGACACTGAATTCTACACAAATCCGCACAAACTAATAGAAATTCGAGACTGCTACAAGAAAAAATGGTCATTACGATATCCTCTCCTCGCTTTACTATTATTTTTAATAAAATTTACTCTAAAATCAAAAATGTAGTTCTAATTCACTGTATATATCTAAGAATCAAATGAAAGTCAGTTGCTTATGTTTTATATAATAAAATTTCATAGTGGTATACATTTTGAAATGAAACTTACCACACAAAATGAACAACACCCCTTAAAAAATCTTGCTGAATTTGAAGGTGGTCGATGTGTTGTAGTGAACATACAGAAAACAAAACTACTTTGTTAGTTTCTGGCGTTTTTCTTGTATACGTAAAGATTGAAAATTTAAATATTAAAAAAGTTATTACTAGAAAAATGTAAGAACATAGTTTGCCAAAAGCAGAGTTTTCTCCCACCTCTCTCTCTTTCTCTACTAACAAGATTAAGTGAAAATTAATGTATTCGTCTTGTAGTTTTTTTATCAGATAAAAAACAGAACATAAAAAAATAAAAGAACAAATTGTTTCGATACGCATAAGACACAGTAATCATGTATTCAATACACAATAATGTTGTCACTTAAAAAAATTTATTCATAAAAACGGAAGTGAAACGAAAGACTCGCTATTAGTAGCGAAAACACTACAAAGTTAGTGTCTTGAGACATTAACAACAATAAAATGAAAAAAAGAAAACCGTTCCTATGAAGCCGACCGTATATCATCATATAGAAACATTGTATTGTGCGATAATAGTGACGAATTATTAAATAAGTATTTTTTTTTATAGATCCGATGTCTTTCACTTCAAACGATGATATGCATAAAGTTAAATGATGACATTCTACGAGAAGATAATAGTAAGTAGACACAATCGAATACGATTTAGAGAATGTTTTTATATTCCATATGCAAATATTCTACACGTTTTCTGGGATAATACCTTAATAGTAGATAGTCATTTTTTTCAATATTATATGAGACGAATTAAGTCAGTCAATTTGAATTTATTTGTAACAGTGATTATTCAGTAAAGAGCTAGGTGTTCTATGAATGATGTTTTCATTCCATGGCTTAAATTCTCATTGTCTGTCATCAGGATGATAAAATTTAATAAACTAAGCTATCTTAAACTTCGCAAAAAGGACATCCAAGTAAGTATATTAGTCGTACTGCTGATAACGCGGTTAACTTTTTCAAAATTTTGCACCTCTATTGCCGTCAATCGTAATCTTCACTAAAGCAGATAGAATTTTTATACAATAACAATGTATGTTTTGTGAAACTCCTTCAATATCTCCAAAGAAGAAGGAGTTGAAGTTTTATACTCAAAATTCCTAGGATTTGGCCAGTTTTTTTACCTCTAGCCCCCACCCTCCCGTGTATTCATCTTAAAAAATGGAGGTGTATTGGACTTAACGGTATGGTGTATTCATCTTAGACGGATATTTACTATACAAAATTTTGTTGATGAGTCGCTACAGCCTGTGTTTGGTTTAGTCAAATTCTATTAAAACTGACTAAATGAACTCTATATGAGACGAAAATTGATTGTCAGTAAAGTTCTGTTTTCATTTATAAAACATTTTACAGGATTTATAATTTCAGGCGCACTCTGTATCTTTCAGATGCTTATTTCTACAAATTCGTCAATCTGTTTGAAGACGTTAAAGGAGTTTCACCCTTTTAGCCCCGTTAGGGGCTGCCCTAACAAGGTTTTTCAACAAGACTGTACTTTGAACTCTAAAACGATATTTCTTAGCATCTAATTATTACCAGTTAGAAATGGCAAATTTTGTGCTTAATTATATCATTATTTTTTACTATTAACAGCGACTTCTTTCTCAGTAAGGCCATTTTATGCCACAAGATTCACTGGTGAGTGACTCTTATCGCTCACATGTGTGTACAATATGTTTCTAATCCTATTCTCGAAGACCTGCTCTCCTTCTGACAATTTCTTATTTTTTTATTAAATTTTCAGAACATATGAGCCGATTCGTACTAATTTTTATCCAAAATGTTTTTGAAATTCTCGGTGTGTTTACGATAAAAAAATTAGTAAAATCTAGTCGCTCTTTCTCGTCATCTAGTTGAAAATGGTAAAAATTTTTAATTTTAATTTTTAAGATTCCATGTCGTTGTCCCTAGAGAGGTTGGTTAACATGTCTATATTCAAATTCTGTCCCATATTGAGTGATGTTGTCCGGCTTCTCTAATGTTATGTATTATAGAAAGGTTTTTATATGTATAACAAAAAAGTTTATGTCTTCAACGATCATAGATGAGAAAAAGCGAAGAATAAAACGTGTCTCGTAAATGTTTGTCGATAGTAACACTAATTCGTCTTGAGATTAAAATATAGACTCCTCGCCTCTTCCATCAGGCGTAGATTTTCAGTTTTTGCTAAAAATTATAGTTTTAAGAAATTCTGTCACTTGTATGCTGTCTCACCGCTAGTGGTGTTTATTATGATAGGTTTCACACAGATTTATCAAATTTTAGAAATTTTACGTATTATCGAATATCGTGACGGAAATTTTATTTCCATTTTGTCCTTTCTTTCTGATCATTCGTATTGCATATACAAAATATGTCAATAAAAGCTGATTTATAAAAATAGAAATAAAAAATTATTTCATCAACAGAGAGTTGGAAATAGAAAATAATTGGAAGCTATAGAAGCAATATTGAAACATTATTCTTTTATTTCAGTTATACACGTTTACTGACTGTCTGTCTGGTGACTCAAGGCTTTCTGTTAGTACGAAACTAAGAGCAGGAAAACAAAACAAACATTAATATCAGCAATCTTATGCTATAATCCAAACAAAGAAAAGGATTAAGAATGATTAGAAATAAACATTATATGAAAATTTAATGAAATTCAAAAAATTCATTTATACTGTTTTTACTGTAAAATGGTACTAAAGAAAAATTATTTTCTGAATGTTATTTAACTTATCTTCAGAAACACGATAAATATACATAAAAAAAAAACAGTTAAATCTCTATGGACTCTATTCATAGAAAAAAGATTGTCACAGCATCCCTTTATATCTTCAAAATTACAGGTTCCAAAAACAAATTAACATCGAGGGAGCTATTAAGTATATATATTTAGAAAGTTTTGTACCGTATTTACATGATCGTTCTTCCAATAATATTTGATCATAGATAAAAGAAAAAAAAGAATCGCTATTCTAGTAGTAAATAGACAATTACAAGACATATGTCTCTAGCAGATGCAGTGAAAATGAACATAATTAGTTTACTGACGGTAGTATTGTTTTGACAACGTCAGGATGGAGAAAAGATATCGTAAAAAGATATCTAGACAAAATTCAAGATAGAATATTCAACTCTACTTAGTAAAAAATGAAAATTTTTCAAATTTTGTTCATTGAACAAATCTCAGAATGATTAGAAAATGAAAAAAACATGTGATTTTCAAGAAATATCATTATAAAAAAGAATTATTACTCTACAATAGCCCAGTAGCAATACTTACTTTATAATGAATAACTGTAGCCATTTAATTTTACCAAAACGAAATTTCTCTTTTGTCTGGATAAGACTACCTACATTTTAAGTTTTTATTGTATTTACCAGCGGAAAACGTAGTCTATACCAATTATTCACATTTCATGTCAAATCTTCCTTTTTTTCCTTTTACTATTTTTTTATATTTTTTTTTTTGTCATAACATGGTACCACAATTAATGTTATATAGTTTACGATACAGCTAATAAATAGCTGTTTAATTTCAGTGCAACTAGCGTTATGTACAAGACGTCGTTTTTTTCGAGGATGACACCTGCAGAATGAAAAAAACGGGAAAGCCATTTTTATTTTTGTTTTTATTATTCCGCTAAAGGCAACACAAAAAAAACAAAAAAAAAAAATTTTTTGCGCGGTTCTTATTTTTTTTTTTTTTTTTTTTTTGTATTGACAGTTTTCATATACGATAAGATGAGTTTCTATATATCGTTAACTTCTTCTTTTCTTTGTTTCATACTGACTTCCTGTTCTGTTCTGTTTTTTCTTGTCAAAAATCCGCATATAAGACCACTTGATCACTCACGTACAAATACACAATATGAGTGTTACTCAATTTAGAAATAGTAGTAGTTTGATGTCCATGTCTTAACTTAAGTTCAAAATGAACTTTTGTTTTTTATTAAGACCTTTTAGCAAGCCTTGATAGTAATATTAGATAAAAAGAAAAAAAAGAAAAAGTATTTTCTCACACGAATAATAGATAGATCAATTCTACGAAAAAATAGTATCTTTCTCAAATGTAATGTAACAATAAAAGAATAAAAAGAAGCGTTTTTTTTTTCTTGAAAAAGATCACTTACTATAGGGGAAAAGTAGATTGAAAATGATTTTTGAATTTTAACAAAATTGTTATTTAAAAATCCTACATTTCTTACTCATACAAACTTTTTCAAACTGTGTTATCTGTCCTAACTAGTTTTCAGTGTAATGTCTAATGTTTTTTTTTTTTTATTTCTTTGAAAAGGTAAAGAAATTATTCTTTACCACATTTGCAAGAGATATATTAACAAGTTTCGAAATAAAATGAGTAAATTCGTTACTGTAGAGATGTATCAATGTGTACGATCGTTTACATTTTAGTTAAGTACAATAGAAACAATATGAGAGTCTATCTAAAGATATAAATTTGAATCGGATATGGATAGCCTATGATTAATGTGATCATTTTTTGAACAACACCAATGCGAAAAAAAATGAATAAAAAAGCTTTATTGATTTTCCTAATGAAGTTTTTTGATACTAAAAATTTTCTTTGCACACGTTAGTTATTTTTTAACCCATTTAACAATATTAAACATGAATAAACTCACATGTTGCAACTCACTAACTCAAAAAGAGAGTTCTAATGCCTTGAGATGCGTTAAATTCAGCATATCAAAAGTAAACGAGAAAGTTCTAATCTATTGAAAAGTCAATAATGCGTTAAAACGTATCAAAATGGATTATTTAATACATTAGGCTAATGAAAAACGACATTTTAGTCTCATATTAAATTATTTTAACGCATTAAGTGCGTTAAAATGAAATTAAACAAAAACGTTTTTAACACATTTTGATGATTTTTACTTTTAAGGATCACCCTCTCAAAAATAATGATTCTCGGTCAAAAATCGATTTTGAGATAAGCATATGGAAAGATAGCCTGAAGTATCTACTTTCAGAATTTTTATCGTTTTCGGTTACCAAAGTGTTATTTCGTGGCCTTCGAACAAGTTTTCTAGCAGCCTCGAAAAACCAGTTCGTTAAATAATAACTTTTTTCTAGATACTTATGCAATTAAACTTATTTCTCAACGCATAGATTTGTAGAGCAAACTTTTCTAATCAAAATAAGACGTCGCACAACTCTGTATCACCTTGCGTCAAAAAGCTACAAGCATTGTCCTACAAGTCCTAAAATTGAGCATTTTATACAGTGTTTAATACAGCGTTTTCGCTACATGGGAGTTACACCTGAAGTATTTCTCAAGATTTTTAATATACTTCAAACTAGAGAGTTCAGGTTTGTTTTATTTTAAAGTACACACTTAACTACATGGGCTGACTTGCACCTATTTTTCAATTAGATCTAGTTTTTTGTCAAATTAAGAATTTCTAGAAAACCTGCTGGTTGTCTACAAAACGAACAAAGGCCTAATTGAAAAGTCGGCGCCAATCAGTCCATGTAGTGATGTGTGTAGTTTAAAATAAAACAAACCAGAACTCTCTAGCTTGAAGTATATAAAAATGTCTTGGAAAATCCTTTAGGGTCCTTTTTGGACCTTGATCTCTGAAGAACTCCTAAACTGTAGGACTTGGAGACAAAAAAACAATTTTTTTCGCGTAACTCATTGCACCTAACATTTACAGAAACATATTAAATTCTAATGCATTCAACTGCATTCACACATGACCATATCAAGAGAGGGCATCAATTTTTGTCGAAAAGTTTCTGGAGCCTCTACAGTATGTCTGATTCAGCAGAAGCAGAATTGCTCTAGACCACGCTTTTAGAGTGACATCCGATGGCAGTGTTAGAAAAGTACGAACATTTCCTTATAGAACGCTAGTATCATTTTTGTTTTTAAAAAGCATTCATATGTTCGCATGAATTAATTTTTAAGCCTTGTGAACTCATTATAGACAGCTCTTAAAATCTATGAACGTATTAAATTTACGAAAAACAGTTTTGATGCATTCGAATGCATTAAACAATTTCATGTATTTGAATATATTAATTCTTAAGGCGTGTGAACGCATCAAATTAATCTGAATACATCTAACTTCATTAAACGGACGAAAAATATTTTTTTATGCATTTGAACGTGTGAAAACAATTAAGAAGTTTAAATGCGTTAGTTATCAATATCAAGGCGTTTGAAGATGTTGAATTCGTTAAAATGTACAAACTAAAAAATTGACTATTTTAGACTTTGAAGGAAAAACTTAAAAAACTCAAAACTTTTTGAAGAAAGGTCGTGGAATGCTAGGAGTAATCTCATTTTGTAGTCCAATCTTTCCTCTACATTAGGCTATGTTCAGTTCAAAATCCAAAACCTTTAAATGTGTTTAAACGTATTAAATGTACTAACTGTAAATTTTTACTCATTCAAAGGAAATTTTTGATATAAAAAAACAATTCTTTGGGTTCAACTTGAACAAGTTTTCTGAGCTGATGTTATGAGACTTTTCGTTTGATTTCGAGAATATTTCGTGAACAAGACGTCATCAAAACTCCTTTAGTAACAATGATATTACAAAAAAAAGTGCAAAAGTGATGACCAAAGAAAACTTGATTTTATGTATACTTTTAACCTTGCTATACGGATGTTTAAAACAGTTTTTAATAATAAATATAATAATAGTCTGTGCACATTGATACATATTAAGGATAAATTGTAAAGTTGAGAATGAGAATTGAAATAATTATTCAATTCTTTAAAGTATAAAATGTTTACAATCAAAAATAGCTAGAAGATATTTAAATAACTATTTATCTCTAACTATTTATCTCTGATCCGTTTAGCAGTGTTCAAAAGGTAGACAGAAACACTCTGAAACTTAAAGATTTTGAAAGTGTATTATTGTACATTGTATCGATGGTCTAAAACTCATCTCAAAATAGAAGATCATCTCATGATAAACCTACAAACCATTTGATCTCCTATTCTGTCAGGCGGATTTAGTAGTCTTGATCTATCGGACTATAACTCTTCAATTTTTTTTGTCTCATTTAACATTTTGGTGGTTAAAAGTCAATTCTAAAAGACTAAGGTACGAAAAGTACTAAACAACTTTAAAAATAGGACCAGAATAACTCAGAGAAATAAATGAATTTACTTGA